GGAAAAAAGCTCCGGTTCCAGGCCATCGTGCATCCATTCCTCACCAGCAACACCATTCATGGCACTTTCAATTTCCGTATCAATCTCTTCGCGGTATATCAACGGCTTGTCGAACTGCAGATTCTTCAGTACTCCAGACGCATATGTCGCTGAAAAATAACGGGAAAACATTGAAAATGGGAAAAAATTGACTCTGTACTTTGATTTTTAAGGATAAAAAAGGATATTTTTCATTCCTATGGATACATTTCTTGATAAATACGTGCGTATATCGTATCGTGCCACAAAAAACTGCTATCTGCTACATTGGTGACTAGAACCACCACTATTATCAATAAATTTTGGATATGCTACCGCCTTCAGTCGGCTCGGTTCTAAGCTCAACACATCCATCTAACTCCGTAAATATCATCTGATTATGTTTTTAAATCGGATTTATTGGTTTCTCCAGTATTCGTTCAACATAGCATGAGAAATCAGTCAACCAATCAGGCTAGATGCATTAAAGTAAGTTAACCATGACTGCACAGTTCAGCTTCAAACAAAATTCATTATTGTAGAAAATTTCGCCGCAGTTTCGCAGTAATTCAAAAAAATGTGAATTTTCGAAAAGCTTACAAATGGCTTTGTGTTTGGAATGCAAAGCTTCGGCAAGTACGGGCGCCGGCCCGTACATATCGAGTTGTCGTGCTCCTTCCGGTGTTTTCGAAAGTTGATAGAGAAGCCCGAGAAGCTCTCGCTGCAGCAACTCATCATCGTTCGCATACACTTCTTCCCATGAAAGTAACTGAAGAATTTCATATATATATGTGAGTATATATGTACAAAGACAACATCTGTAACTTGTTTCTATCTATATTCACATCACTAATTCTATTTGTGCTTCTTTTACTTATTTACTTTTATTCTATTACCCATTTCTAGTTATACAAGAAATTAACAACACAACCCTGAGTGGTTACAAAAAACAAAAAAAATGAAAAATATCCCAAATCAACAAGCAAGATTTCGCTATAAATTTCCATGCTGTTCTGAGAAGCTAAACAAATGCGTACAACCACGAAAATAAGGTATTCGAGTGCTACTGAATACCCCAATAGACGGAATGAATTCAGTTTTTGTCATGTTCTTTGCGTTCTACATGTAATTCTTTTCTGCAATTCGTAAATACATAGATATGCTTACGAAAGTCAAACTGTCTCTTGAAGAAGCATCGAATGAGGAAGGAATGAGAGAAATCTTATTTTTCACTTCAGAAAACGAAGGTCACGGTTCACCAGAGACAGGCTACGACATTGCCAAAGGAAAGTTTCCCGCCGCATCAGGTAACGAAGCATTGTTTCGGGTGCCAGTCATGCAACACTGATATTCTCCAACGGTTAATGAATAAACGTAGGGCAGTGTTATGATCCAGCGGATCGGAAATCAGCCAATTTCAAAGTCGCAGTCCGTGAGATAAAGCAATTTGAGGCTTGAACAAAGCTGAATCTATGCTCTGAGGCAGGTTGACTCACCTTGACCAACATATCAATGAATGGATGATCGCGAAGCATGAGTTGCGCCGATTGCAAATCGTTTCCTAACTGATGCAATGCCGACACAGCACCCTCAACCAATTCTCGCATTGCTACGCCATCGGCCAATGCGTCTGGATCCTGCCGCAACTGAACGCCCGCTCGTCCCAGCACGTCCATCGCCAGAGTGACCACTGACTCACCCCTCGCAGTTGTTTCCTGAAACCATAAAATCATGTATTAATTTCAGAGAAGAAATGCTGCAGTTAGAACAAAAACACAATAATGCCTGCAGAATGTAACGAACCACCAACAGTTATAGCGACGAATGCACGTTAAATTTCAGCTTTTCTTCAGTTTTTTCCTCCCCCAACAACTATTTCTACGTCCTAAAGTGGGGTGGGTCAGAAAAAAAAGTGTATACAACTTAATGGACCGAAACATTTCTTATCATTATAATTTTAATAATTTTACTACTTTTACTAATTTCTTAATATTATTTTCTTTTTTCTACTTCAAAATACCTTTCTATTAAAAGAATAACCACAAAAACCCACGTCAATTCTTCCTTTGCATTTGAATGAGAATTCAGGAAGAATGAGAAGGCTACTAGTCTTGCACCATGCAACGCAACTTCATCCTAGCCTATTCTCAAACAAAAC